GACTGCACTTGGTGGCTAGCAGGCCCTCCTCCCTAAATGCTCTACTCTACTTCAAGTGTTACTCTACTGAAGTGTTACTCTGAGCCTGAGAAACATGAGCAGTATGTGCTGGCTTCACACAGCTTTGGATTGTACTCATGTTTTGCAGCTTCGTTCTTAGGCCTCGAGATATTTCACTTCAAAACACATTAGTTTAAAAAATTACAGGCTCATTTAGCATACCTATTTATAATGTTTATTCTCTGTGCTATTTTTCAGGTTAATTTTCAATTTCTTAAAATGTATTTCTGTTGAGTGTCTCCAAGAGATTGTTACAGCGCTGGGAGTTCAGTGGTAGAGCACTTGGAATAGAGGGCTTGAATGTATAGTTTATATTTTTAGAAATCCATTGCCAAAACAAACAAAACCCAGTTACAGGTTCAAAAAGACTACAAATTGTTGCTCTTTGGGCAAATGTATCTTCTGACCGTTCTGCAGAGGGAATACACCTGAAACCAGAGGAACTGCCTATGTAGTCTACGAGGACATCTTTGATGCGAAGAATGCATGTGACCACCTCTCGGGCTTCAATGTTTGTAACAGATACCTCGTGGTTTTGTATTATAATGCTAACCGGGTGAGTACAGCCCACTGGGCAGAGTGGCTGGTGCAGGGAAGTGTGTGGGTTTCCTCCTGCCATGCTGCTGGGGAGCTCCTTTCACTGTAGCTCAGTTCCAGTCAACTGTGGTGCTTTCACACCTGCAGGCATTCCAGAAGATGGACACCAAGAAGAAGGAGGAGCAGCTGAAGCTTCTAAAGGAAAAGTACGGCATCAACACAGATCCCCCCAAATGAGTAACAGCCATGCGCAGCCCCGGTTGCTCTTCTTCTTTTTAATTAATACTGAATATTGTGACTTCTTATTTGAGACCAAGGATGACTTGTTTGAAACTTTTCTAAACACTAGAATATATTATGTTAATAAACTAGTAGCTTTTTGTAAAACATGTCAGTGTTTTCTCTTACTTCTCAAGCCTCTTTAATACCAGGGAAAAACAACAGGAGAACCACATGCAGGATTGTAGATGAGCCTATGGACTGAGGTCCTTGAGAACACTAACTTTTTTCTTCCTTTTTTTAATACTTGTTTATTTGGTGTGTGTGTGTGTGTGTGTGTGTGTGTGTGTGTGTGTGTGAGAGAGAGAGAGAGAGAGAGAGAGAGAGAGAGAGAGAACGGGCACATGTGTGGCAATCAGAATGACTTACCACATGGGTCTTGGGGATTGAATTCAGGTTGTCAGGCTTGATAACATATGCCTTTACGAAACTCTGAGCCGTAAGAGGAACAACTAGATTTATTTAATTTTGTCTTGTTTTTTGAGACAGTCTCTCCATGTAGACTAGGCTGGCCTCCAACTCAGAGATCTCTTCCTGCCTCGGCCTACAAGTACTAGGATTAAAGACATAAGCCACCAATATCCAGCCTAGACTTGCCATTTTTAACTAGTAATACCCATGAGGTAGGTCACATTTGAGGACACAAAAGCTCATCCTGTTGGTTGAATGCTGGGCATGGTGGTGCATGCCTGTTATCCCAGCACTCAGGGAGGCAGAAGCAGGAGGATCTCTGTGAGTTCAAGACTAGCCTGATCTACAAAGTGAGTACACTACAGCCAAGGCTACACAGAGAAACCCTGTCTCAAAAAAACGAAAGAAAGAGAAAGAAAGAAAGAAAGGAAGGAAGGAAGGAAGGAAGGAAGGAAGGAAGGAAGGAAGGAAGGAAGGAAGGAAGGAAAGCTGGTACTAGTACACAGGTATAATCCCAGCACTTGGGAAGCTGAAGCAGGGGGTCACCATGAGTGAACTACATAGACCTTCCTAGGCTATAGGCTATGTAGTAAATTCTAGGCCAGTCTCAGCCTGGGCTACGGAATAAGACCGGTCGCAAAACACAAAGGCAGAGACGTGAGAGGAGTGGTACGAGAACCACAAAGAACCAGACACCTGTCAGTGTGGTAGCCCTCGTCCTTACAACAGAGGTCATTATCCTTTGGCAGAGTGATCACTCAGAGGCCAGCATGTTGTTAGAAATTTGAGAACAAGCTGTTTAGGCACCGATGCCATTACAATGATGGCATTGTACTTATGTAGACTCTCCTTTTCATTATTAACTATCCATATATTTTGGACTAGGCTCACAATATGTCTTTGTCATAAATAAAATGCTTAATAGTAGGAGTTTCCATGACATGAGAAGACTGTAATAATTGTCACATTCACTGTGGCTTGGCAGCCTGGGAGAAGACAGCTATAAATTTCCTTTTTATAGTTCAGGCACAGGCCAAATGGAGGCATGTGGATTGATTGGTTTGTGAACCTAGAGTCACTTGGAAGGCTACATATACTGACTTGTGTGGACAATCAAAGATATCCTACTTTTAAATCCATGTAAAGACTCATTACTTTTAAGGAAATAGGCTTTTCTATGTTTTGTACTGTCTTTTCAAAGCTCGCTCGACAATGAAATGATTTATTATGTCTGAGTGGTTTTTGAAAGCACTGTAAAAAAAAATTCCCATTTTGGTTTTTTGAGACAGGGCTTCTGTGTGTAGCCTTGGGTGTCCTGGAACTCAGTCTGTAGAGCAGGCTGGCCTTGAACTCAAAGATCCCCCTGGGATTAAAGGGGTGTGCCACCACAGGCAGCAAAAAGCCATTTCTAAGAAGGGTAGGCAGATAAGCCACACTTTCTGGTGAGCGCCTTTATGATTTCCTTACTAATTCCATAAAGCATGCTGTGTCTTCCGTGTTCGCAGACATAGACGGTGTTCTGAAAGATCTTTGTCAGGGGAACACAGAAATTAGACTACCTGAGAGGGAGGTCTCCGAGTGGCAGGCCAGCTTGCTTCTAACAGTGTTAATAACCAGGAAAATTCCTTCTATTGGCAGTAAGGAACGGTCTGTCATTTGGATTATGTGTCTGTTAGCTGAATTTCCTGACCTAAAATTAGAGTTTTAAAACCAGGACTGGGGATATAGCTCAACATCGGAGGGCTTTCTGAGCCAGTTGCTATAGCACTACAGAAAACAAATTTGTTTCTGGGTGTTTGGAATTCTGTAATTTAGTTACAAGAACTTAGACTTGGGACAGACACTGAGCCTCTCTGTAGGAGGTATGTTGCTAAATCTGAGGCTCTAGTTGATGATTGTATTGTGCAGCAGCCATCTAAAGTTCAGTTTTTTTAAATCAAGTTAAGAGTGTAAGGGACAGAGCTGGTCATGTGGGTACACACTTGTAATCCAAACACTCAAACACTGAAGAGGCAGGGGCAGGAAAATCACATTTGAGGCCAGCCTAGTGAACGCCTTCCTCAAAAGACAGAAAGTGCAACAGGTGATTGCGTTCCCATATTCACCTTTGCAGGTGTGTCCAAGTTGCTTTGAGTGGGGCCGAGTCTCAAGTTTCTTGACTCATGAGATTCATTGAGCAGCAGTTTGAAAACAACTGATAGAGTACAGGTCTTATTACTGGTCTATTGCTTACCAACCTTTAATGGCTCCCTCGAGACACTGTCTAAACTCTTTGGCATATGTCATAATTTCCTACATCATCTTCCAAATACTGGAGAAAGCACCCACCTCTCTGCTTTCCTGTAAAACCTAGTGTATCCTTCAGGGGCTAGCTAATTGGTGTTCTCATTTTTAGGATTTCTTAGGTGTCATTATAGCCTCTTGGCACCCAGTCAATACTACTGTGGACAGATCTTTTGCATGCCCTACAGTTGGCCCACGAAATAGTCTTTGGTGTCATTTTTGCTCATCCTGTTGGTGTCACAGAAGAAAGCATGGGTATGTCTTCTAGTCAGGCTGAGTTCTGAGGAAGTACAGGTGTTGGAATCATCAAGGAGAGTAAGGAAGCAGGACATTCCAGAAGAGACACCCCGGAGAGGATGGCTCCAGCATCCTTTGGGTTGATGTAGTCACACAGACTGAGTAAAAGCAAATTTTCATTCATGATTTCATCTAAGACACTGCCTTCTCATGAACCCCTCAGCAGAGGAATTCATCCATGACTTCCTGGAGATGAGGGGTAGAGACGGTAGCCCCAACTGTGGCCCCAAATCTACCTAGGATGTTACCTGATATAAATCAGTGGGTCTTTAATCCTAACACTTGAGAGACAGAGGCAGACAGATCTCTGTGAGTTTGAGTTCAAGGCCAGCTTGGGGGGAGGGGGGACAACAGTGAGGTCCTGTCTCAAATAAATAGTAATAATCAGTGAGATCCTTTCTCAAGTAAATAAGTAAACAAGATAGATGGCTCCTGAGCACTAACACTGTAGGTCGTCCTCTGGTCTCCCTATGCTCCTGCATGTGCATACACACACACACACACACACACACTCTCTCTCTCTCTCTCTCTCTCTCTACATTATTATCAGAAGTAACTTCATGGTAAGCCAGAGCAAATCTTAAGTGGTGCCTATGAAAATAAGCCTCAGAATCAAACATTCTTTTCAAAAGTAACTTCCTGGAACTTGTGAGTCCAAGGTTTCAAGCCTTTAACACATTCATTTGCTCAGACACATATGGTTCCTGTCCGGTGAGGGAGGCTCTGCCCTCACTCTCTTCAAACAGATGAAGTTGCAGGACCACCTGGACATCAAATCCCACCCAGGGTTGCTAGGACGCTGGCTTAGTTATGCAGAGGACTCAGAGCTAGTGAATCTAGTAGGGTAACAGCTAATTTACAAAGATGCTTAGAGGATTTGTGATCATTTTATTGAAAAAGTAAAACTAGACGTGGTGCTGTGTATGCACCTGTAATCCCAGCCGTCAGCAGACTGGCTGAAGGAGTTCAGGTCAGCCTGGCCTCTGAGATCCTGTCTGAAAGCGCGGGGAACAAGGTTCAGCATGAACAGTTGGCTCACACAGCTACTGTGTACACTCCCGTCTACTTGGAAACCCCCTTTCACCAAGGGCAGTTGGCTTGTGTGTCATTAAAGGACTTCCCACAACATGATGGACAGGAAGATGCCAAGCGCGGAACCTTTATTTTACATCGTGTTTCCAGAGAGGGCACTACTTAACGTGAGCAGACAACAAAAGGTAAGAAAGTGACAGCAAAGGTAACTGGCTCAAGTCCCTCTGTGTGACCACGTACAGTACATGTCTGAGCACCTTGTATGTCCGGCTTAAGTGCAGCTAAGGCAATATAGATTGTGCAAACAAGATCTGTGTCCTGTGATCAGGAATGGTTACTACATGCAACATACAAATTGTACAGCCTGAAATGTTTGGCTCTGTAACTAAAGTTCCTTCAAGCAAAGAGGTATGGGGATAGTTAAATGGTGGGCACATACAAAGCAAGTTGGGCAGAAAGAACAGATAATGAAGAGAAGCGGTGGGATCACACTGATCAAGAGCCCTACAGAGGAGGAGCCATCCCAGTGGTAGAGCAGGCTAGAACAGAGACCAGGAGCCGTCTCCAGCCACCTTGAGTTCCTTCCTGCCTTCACTCTAAGTTCAGCAGCTCCACGTCAAAGATGAGGGTGGCATTGGGAGGGATGACACCGGGGTGGCCCGTAGCTCCATATGCCACATCAGGGGTGCAGGTCAGCTTCGCCCTCTGCCCCAAGCTCATCTAGCAGGGATGGGGGCAGATGGGGAGAGGAGAAAGAGGACCCAGCTTGATTTAAAAGAAAAAAGTAAGATAACTATGGCATTTTCCCCAAACCGTCATTACGGTAATTCCAAAGATCTGAGATTAATTTTATACATGGCACACTATAGTTAAGCTAAGAGCTTAAATATGCAAATTCTGCCTCAAAATAGACTCGACTATGGGGCAGTTAACAGCCACAAAGTAGTCTCAGATTCATTCAAGCAACAAATGTTATTGGTTATTCTGCTAGTGCATGGCCCAAACACTTGTGTCTGCTCATAATTGTGCCTGGCCCTCTTCTGAAGTAGCCTAAAAGGATCAGCACTGACTACACCGTGACAAGAATAGTTGAGAGTCAGCAACTCAAGGCCACAGCCAGGTGACAGAGGCAAAGTTACAGGAGTGGAGCATCTTATGACTTCCCACAGAAACTGAGGGAGCGCTGGAACCAAAACCCGTCAGTGCTGTCCACCACCAGCCATTCACCAGTGGGATAGCCGTGAGGTATGCATTTCAAAGAATTCCAAAAATTCGAGCTGACCGGCTAATTGTGTCGATGTTAATGTTCTAGTTGAATCACTGTAGTATGGCTTATATATGTTAACATTTGAGGAAGCCTGGTGAAAATTATGGCGCTTCACTAATATATATATATATATATATCTGAAATAGCTAGCTTCAAAACTGTTAAAAAGCAAAAAAACCAAAGCACTTCTTGGCTTATCCATTTCTAGTTCTTTTTAGCTTAGACAGCTTGTTGGCTCAAGCAAGCCTAGGAGGGATGCTTGGGATGAGACACAGAGGTGCCAGTCACAGAAAAGGGGAAGGACAGTTGCAGGAGTGGGCACTAGGTGGCGTTGCTGCATCCTGGCGGCAGAGTCAAGGCAGTGGTCTGCGTTAGGGCCAGCGGAGAAGGGGAGGGCCCAAATCTACCGCTCTTCACAACCCACAGTGGTTGAATCCTCAGCCTCCCTCAAAACCTCACTGTGCATCCTCGGCCTACCTGGGCAGCGCCTTCTTCAAAACCCTTGATGACTTCCTGCTTGCCAATTCGGAACTTGAAAGGTTTGTTTCTGTCTCTGGATGAATCGAATTTCTTGCCATTTTGGAGCATTCCTATCAAAGCAAGAAGAGGGTAGAAAAGAGCTGTGGTTGGGGTAAACTAACAGTTGGACTCAGCAGTCTGCAGGAATTCCTCTTCTCTTCAGCCTAAGTCTGCTCCTCTTCGACCCTCCCCATCAGACCCGCTGACAAGCAAGCGGGAAACCTGGACCCATCTTTCTGCCTCACCCCCACATGCAGCCTGTCACCAAGTCCTATATCTCTTTAGAATCCACCTACTTCGGTTTCTGCTACTGCCACCGCTCTGGTCTCACTGAGTCACCACATCTCCTCAGGGCCTGGGACGGCCTCTAGAAGCTGGCATGTGCACGCCTCGCCTGGCTTTCACTCTCCACATCGACAAATTTTCTTTGTTTTCCCTTTAGACACAGTTCTGATATTTACTTCCCTGCTTAGAACACTTCAATAGCTCCCGGAACAGAATCCAAAGCCTATTCAGAGCAAACCATCCTCAACTTCCTCTACACCTCCTAAACTTCTCACGCTACTTCCTCGGGCCTTCTGGTCTCAGGACCAGCCCTCACCTAAGGTTCTCAGTGCTTCCTCAGAATGCAAAGCCCAGAGATCACATTGCCATATCACCCCCTGCTGTAGTGAAAGAGCAAGGTGACTCGGCCGATCTGTGGTAACTAACTCCCGGCCCCCACACAAACAGCTGCTTTATCCTGGAGCACGCAGGTATGACCTCTGGCGGTTTGTGTCAGCCGTTACCTTCTCGTGGTGTCTAGTAATCCCTGACATCCGTGTGTTGTCACCGTCCATCAGCCCGAGGACGCAGAGCACCGCTGCGTATCTGTCCTCTCACTCGGAGGCCAGAGCTTCTTCTTAAATTTTGATTTTATTTTATGTGTGTAGGTGTTTGCCTGCATGTATGCCTGGGCACCATAGAAGTACCTGATGCCCTTGGCGGGAAGAATATGGCTTCCGTCTGGCACTGACTCACTGTGTGATATACGAGATAGTTTCCATGTTTAACAGAGGAGGTTTTGCCAGCTTAAGCATCTAAGCATCCATTATTTCTGAACTCCAACAACTTGAGTGTGTACTAGAGAGTCTTATTTACCCACCTTCTGTGTAGAATAGATTGGGCTCCTGTCCTAAGTTCTAAATGTGGCGAAAGAGAAACCCTTCTGGCTACCCAGAGGTACACACAGATGGATGCTACAGAGATCAAACACAGACTCATGCACATACACAGTCGCTAAGATATTCACATTCGCAGAGACATTTCTGCTGCTCACACGCACACACACACACAGACACTCAGGAGAGAGGCCCTGATGGTCAAACAGATGCTAAGAAAATATTTAGATCGACAGACCTACATATATCCATACAGACATGCGCTTGGACAAATACAGGCTTGGATATGGCACATTCACAATCCGTTTATAGACTGGCTTTCCCATTCCCCAATGCCTTCAGGTTTCATAAAGCTGAATCTACTTGAAAGCATGAAACAGTTATCTGTGGCTGTAAATTCAGCCAAAGCCACAAAATCCAGAAACAGGCTCACATGAATATGTTTACTTCCTTTATAAAGATGCCACTGTAATACATGAAATAGAGGATGACTTTTTGGATTAACACTACTGGATCAAATCTATATCCACATGGGGGGTAAATGGACTTAAGCTTCTAGCACTTCCACACGCAAAACTCAATTCCAGGTGAATCACAGACCTAAATATGAAGATAAGATAATGAAACTTCAGGCTTGGGATGTAGTATAGTGAGGGGATACTCAACTGTAGTTTTAAAGATCTAAGTTCGATACCACAAAGCACCACAAACTACTACCACTACTCAAAGTTTCTACAAAGTAGTTGGACTTGATGATGCACACCTGTAATCCCAACACTCAGGTGGAGGGTAGGAGGACCAGGAATTCAAGGCCAACATGGGATCCTGTCTCAAATGAAAAAACAACAAAAAGAAAAGAAAAGAAAAACACCACCACCACCATTTCTTCTAGGTGACAAACAGAAATGAAGAGTATGTTCATAATATAGTGAAGGATTTCTTGAACACAGGAAAAGGTGTAAGCATGATGGAGAAGACTGATAAGTATAAGGTCATTAAAATTAACTTCTGCTCAAAAGATACTATTAAAAGTTCAATGGCAGAGCCAGAGAACTGGGGTTCCCAGCATCCACACAGCAGCTCACATCTGCCTGTAATTCCAGTTTCCAAAGATCTGATGTCCTCTTCCAACCTGTGCACTAGCTTCACAAACTCACTTTGTAGCTGAGGTTGGCCTTGAGCTTTTGATTCTCTTGTTCCCACTCCCAAGTGTGGGTATTATAAGTGTGGGCCACCAGGCCCAGCTTATATTTAATTTTTTTAAAAGTTCTCCAGAAGTTTCTTACATATAGTCCCCTGCTGTATTTTCTAAGACAGTTTCTCCCAAAGCAGAGCCGTCTGTAGCTGATGTTAGTGTTTAATGCACACAGCCTACTTGAGGTGCATACTGTTGGGAAACTTTGCAAAAGGACATCCGGTTTCACTAACTTGATGAACAGTGGTCTGTCCACAACATGTAGAACACATAAATCAATTACCCTGGCCAGAGGCTCCAGAAGCCCCAAGGTAATTAGGCCACATCACCAAGAGATTAGACAGCCCTGGTGTGCTGACATCAGCGACTGGAGATACCGCTGTTAAAAAACAGCCATGTCATCTGCTAGAACCAATCTGGTGCTTCACACTGGCCTAGAGAACTGCTAAAAATGGCCCCATCTGAATATGTCCTAGGAATTAAGCTGGCCTTGCTGTATGCTAAATGGCTGTCACCCAAAGAGTTTGCCACATTGGGAAGCGAGTCACAAGGCAGAGTCCTTACACCTCTTAGAGCAAACACCTGCCAACAATCTTACTGCCTGCAGTCCTAAAGAACTCATCTAGAATGTTTCTGGGGGTGGGGAGGAGGGAGATGGCTCAGTGGCACTTCAGTTCCAAGCACACGCAGGGTGAATCAGAAACATCCATAACTCCAATACCACGGGATCTGACACCTTCTTAGCTCCACCAGGCAAGCATGTGGCACACATACATACGTGCAGCCAGAACACCCATACACACAAAGTAAAATAAATAAATATAGTCCTTTGGTCCATGGGTTTTTCAAAGAAGAGAGAGCAGAGGTGTGGCAACCTCCTCTGGATTCTCCCAGCACACTGTCCCCATCCCTCCCTCTGCAGTGGGGTTTGGTGGGTGTGGGAGGGCACAAAAGGAGAAAAATAGGGGGAAGTGGAATTTTTGAGGGTGCTCGGATATTTCAGAATAGGTTTGAAATATCAGACAGGAGCAGGAGGGTCAGGGTACCATCCTGCCCACCATCAGGGAATGAAACTAGATGTGTTTGGTTCTACCAGAGGCTGGCACCATTGATGGTCTTTGTGGGTAAAGAAAAGGTATATCTGGTCACAGGAAACTTGGCTGCCTTGGGCTTTGAGGATAATCCATGGACAAGACCCTTTGGAGAGGAGCTTAGAGGACAGCCCTGCCTTGGGAGAGGGGCAGGCCTGGACCAGAGCTGAGGGAACAAAACCTACCTGTGTAGTGCACCACGCATATCTGACCCTTCTTGGGGAATGTCCTTCCTGTCGGGAGAGATGAAGGCAGATGAAAACCTAGGGTATTAGGAAAAACTCACCAAGGCAGGCAGTGGCAGCATGCGCCTTTAGAACCAGCAATTGTGAGGCAGAGGCAGGCGGATCTCTGTGTGTTTGAAGCCAGCCTGGTCTATAGAGCAAATTCCAGGACTCCCAGGGCTACTTAGTGAGACCCACTCTCAAAAAACAAACAAAAAAAAAGGGGGCATAGGAGAAGAAGGTTGGGCGGGATTGGGAGGGGATGAAGAAGGGGGCTACAGCCGAGATACAAGGTGAATAAACTGTAATTAATAAAAAAATAAATTAATTTTAAAAAAGGAAAGAAAAACTCACCTGACACATCCAAGTTTGATCATGACCCTGACTGACTCACTTCTCTTTACCATAGAGAAGCCTATCTCTGAGCCAGACCTAATGATGTCTCCTTTCTGGCTTGTATTTGAACTTTATTAATCTCAATTTACTATTCTCAAAAACAAAACAAAACAAAAAAGCCCCATTACTTTTTATTGCTCCCTTTACTTTCATCTATTCTACAAGTATTCACAAATAGCCTACTATGGTCAGACCTAAAGTAGGTTCCAGAGACAGAGAGTAATATATGAACTTATGAAGAAGAGAAGCAGAAACATAAATCTCAGATTGCTAAAGAGTCATGACCCCCGTCAAGCAATCATTTACAAGAAATTGATAATGGCCAGGCCAATGTGCCCTAATGTCGGAGATCCAGCAGAGAACAATAGATAGATCTCCTGCTTTTCTGGGGTCTTCTGGGGTCTCCATTCCTTCTTTTGTATATGTGGGGTGGTCATGTGGAGTGGGATGAGGTGGTGGTGGTGGTGGTGGTGGTGGTGTGTGTGTGGTACATGCATTTGAATGCACAGGTGTGAATGCCACATGCCCATGAGCTTGCTTGCAGGCCAGAGAAAGATTTCGTGTCTTCCTCTATCCCCTTCCAATTTATTTCCTTGAGATAGTCAGTCAATGAACCAGAAGCTATGCCACAGAGCTCACAGGATCTGCTCCCCAGTGCTGGAGTCACAGGCAATAGCAGTCACACACAGCTTTTTTGCATGAATGATGGAGATTCAAGCTCAAGCCTTCATGTTTGCATAGCTAGAGCTCCAAGCCATCTCCCCAGTTTACATTCTCATGGAAGGAGACAATGCTAATATAAATAAGATAATTATAGATGATGATAAGTCCTCTGAAGAAAATTAACACACTGATGAATTTCAGAGACGTGGTAAGCCAGCAATTTCAGAAAGGGCATGCCAAGAAGGCATTTTGGAGATGGTGATGTTTGAGCTGGTACTTTAGGAAGGAACTGACTCAAAGACCATGAAGCAGGAAAGGATTGCCTTGTTTTCAGACTAGAAGAGAGGAGGGTGAGATGGAGGCGAGGGACATGAAAGAGATGCACCATGCAGCTTGCAGAGATGGGTTTAATACTAAATGCAATAGGAAACCGCTGAAGGGTTTAAAAGCATGGGAATGACCTAATCTGAATTAAGATTTTATAAGATCACTCTGGCTCCTGCCCGTGGGATGGGTGGTTAGACATCTGTTGTGATAATCTAGACAAGAAATCAATGGTGGCATGAATTAAGGTCGTGGCAGCAGAGAAGGGAGTGAAATAGGCTGGAGATGTATGTTGGAGGCAGGGCTGAAGAGGGCATGCAAATGGATGGGAGAAGCGGCCCACCACCCTTCTCACCATTGGAGGAGGGAAAAGAAGAAAACAAGGAAGATGCTTGAATTTGGGATTTGGGTAACTGGAAGGTGGTAGAGCTGTCTTGAGAGATGAAAAAACTGGAAGGGAACAGATTTGTGCGGGAGGCAATCTTGAGCTGCCTATTAGACATGCAAGTTTTCACTGCAAGCAGGCAGATGCAGAGCTGACACACTGGATAAACAAATTGGGTGGAATATAAAATCACGAGGCTGGATGACGAGCTTGGGAACATAACAACGCAGTCAACATTTAGTGGACTGTAGGAGCCTACAGTCCACTAAAGAAAAGCCTTGCAGAAAGTAGTTCAATTGGATGTTAAAAGATGAGTAAAAGTCTGTCTGGAGAAGTTAAGGGATCTGGGAAACGACCTGTAAGACCTGTTCAGAAGCCTGGAATCCGGAGTTGGGATGTAGCTCAATGTACAGCAGCTGCCTAGCATGCACAAGGCCCTGGGTTCCAGCCCAAAGCACACAAAGTCTTAGGGTCCTAGATAGTCCAGTTATAGTGGGAGCCCATTGGTCCCATAGGTATCCGGGGGGCCCAGCACATATTACACATTCCATAAATATTTGCTAAATGAGTACTGTGTTTAGCAACTCAAAAGTGGCTTGGCGAGGTTGGTTGTGGCCATAGGGACAGTAGGGAAAGAGGAGGGAGCAGCATGGTCACTATCACCCAGTCTATCACTAAGGGGCCAGACTGCTAGCAGAAGTAGGGGCAAGAATCTTTTAATACTTTTCTGCCTGAGGGAGGGGCCTGTTAAGTCCGGCATTTTAGGAGACTGGTGAGGAAACGAAGGGAGTGAGGAGAGGGGGTTAAATGGAAGTCAGGAAGATGAGAATGAAGATGGGGCGAGAGCTCAGAGCCTGCCTGGGTGACAGGGCCTGAGAAAGGCTTCCTCAACCCTAGCACCAAGATTCTTTGCATGGGCAGAGAAACCTGTACCCCGAATGAGTGATCCGGGTAGTAGCTGGTACTTCCGGGAACCCCTCGTTTTGTAACCAAGAAGCCCCTTCAATTTCCTGAGGAGGAGCCAATAATATCTAACAGCAAGTTTGCTTGTTAAACACTTGTAGACCTTGGGGTGGCTTTGGGTCTGGATTAAATTTCGCTTAAGAAAAAGCTATTCCTTGAATATCGATAGCCAGGTTTCTAAGTAGTTGAAAAAAACTTGGTTCTCTTAACAGAAGACAGGGGACCCAGAGACAGACTTGAGGGGTGAACAAAGTTAGGGAATAGGAGTTCTGGTTGGACTAGCTAAGGCACCATGGGTCAAGCAAGCAAGTCCAGAGGCTGGGTTTTGAGGTTTGACTGTGGAGGTCAGGGTAGTGGGCAGATGATCAGAGAGGCTGAGGGGGACCAGGACGGTGAACTAAGACGCAAAAGCAGCCAAAGGCGTGGCACGCACCCAAATTGGCTCTCTTTCTACAGCTTACTGCTTGCTGCCCAGACCCGAGGGCCCCAGACAAGAGGACCGGCGGGGTGGGGTGCATTAGGAGGGGTTTCCCTGTGCAGCAGGGACCCCTAGAGAGGGTCGATCCTCGGTGCCGAACAGGGAAAACGGAGCTTAAATCCGAACCTGGAAAGTCAGCAGCAGCGGATAATGGAGAGGTTGCAGCTCAGGCATCAGCAGCCACAGCCTACGAGAGTGACACGGACCCCCTTGCCCCAAGGTGGCCACCTTCACTCCCCAAGGCGAGCGGGCGCTGGAGGAGGATGGTGGAGAATTGTTCTCTAGAACCCTCAAGAATCAGAGTGGTGTGTGTGTGTGTGTGGGGGGGTCTCTTCTTGCCGCACGCATCTTTCACCCCCTCCCCTTCAGGTCCCCGGAGCCACCTCGGAATCAGATCCCTGCCGCGGACTCCACCCCGGGACCCCTCCTCCTCCCGGGCCCCGTTGCCCGGTACCGTCTCCCGGGGAGATGGTCTCGATCTCCACGCCCATCGTGGTCCCACAGGCCCCGCCTCCAGGGGGGTCCTCGCGGCTGCCCCGACCCCGGCTCCGCTCAGGCCTGACCCCGCAGGCGCTCCGGCTCGCCTTCTGGCCGCCACTGCAGAGCCGGAGGAGGTGCGGCTGGAGTCAGGACCTGCGCGGGGAGGGGCCGCCGGGAAGGGGGCGGCGGGGTGGAGCCGTGCGACAAGGTGGGGTCGGCCGGGGCGGGGCCCGGGGGAAGGGACCCTGACGCGGCTGCTCCGGAGCCTGGGCAGACTAACCACCATTAACCCACTGGCGGAGGGGACGGCGGCTGAGCGAGGCGTGCCGGCACCGGCGCAGCCACACTTCCATCGGCTCAAAGCGTATTTACTTAGCACCTACTCGATGCAAAGCTCCAGGGAGTCCACCGGTCCTACAGACTAGGGAGAGAAAGCCGGTAATTAAACTAACACTGTAAATACATGTGCTCAGTGCGTGGGGTTGAGAGCACAACGGGAAGCACACAAGACTGATACCTATCCTGGCTAAGATTCCCGAATCCTTAGGAGCAGAGCCAGGGGGGAGGGGGAGAGCGGGCTGAGACCAATGATAATTGATGATTCTACCCCAACCACCTTAAGCTCGTATTCATCACCCCTCAAAGTTCTCCGGCAGGTATTTGTATGGGGGTGGGGGCTACTTTTCAAGGCAAAGGACTGCTCCCTTGGGGATTCCAGTTGAAGTAAAACAGGAGCGCTGAGGACACAGCCTGGAGGTGCGAGTGTGGCAGAATGAATGAATGAATTCCTTTCCCCAAACCAGGCCGGAATCTAGAAAGTTACTTTTGTCCTTCCGATATCCTCTGCCTCCATGGTGCTGGGAATGGAAACCAGGGAAACCAGGGTCTCCTCCACACCCTAGGCTAACAGAGGCTACAGACCATAGTCCCTAGAAGGTACCCTGGGAGGAGGTACATTTGCTTGAAGGTTGGAGGAGACTTTAAGAAATGTCCCCCAACCCTTTCTAACACGTTGCAAAAATCGACATGATTTTGATTCTGACAAAAGACACTGGGAAGTGAGTATGGGAGAAGGACCTTTTCAAAGACCAGGACAGGAACTTAAGGCATTTTCCTCGGTTTCTCCACCTTCACTCTTCCAGGTGGCTAGGTCGCAGATGAAGTGGTCAGCATTCAGGAAAGAAGTGAAGTTGGAGCTCAGAAAACAGGGTCTACGGTATTGTCAAAAGCGGGGAAACCCCGCAGGTTTAGTCTAGAGGCTTCATGTTGCAGAAGCTTGAAACACCCCCCCCCCCGCAAAACCTTACTGTTAATGGCTTTGGGTTGGTACTCTTAGATTAGGGGTAGAACAGATCGGCTACTTGGGCAGGCCTAGGAAGCGGCTTCAGGTGAACGGATGCTATTTACATTTTGGGAGCGATATTTTATGGGATTTTAAATGGGGAATCCCTGACGCTTCTCTCCCAAACAAAAAAACAGTTGACCCATTATGGACCCTACAATTCCGATCCCTTATTGCAACCTCTTTCAAAAGATGAGACTTGCACGGGAGAAGAGGTAGAAGCACTTGAGACAGCGCCTGAAGATTTACGGGCGGCGATTTCGTGGGAACTACAACTCCCAGAAACCCTTGTGGCAAAACCCGCTCTTACTGGCCAGCGGAAGGACCCGCCGCTAGCGCGACGCACTCAATAGCCAATCGTCTAGAGGCATTGCCGAGGACCTAGGGCAGAGGCTTCCGTTAGTTGCGGGGGACTTCTGATCCCGTGACGCGAGCGGCCCCGGGATTTTTATGTGTGGGGCGGGGAAGCAGAAAGACCAAGGTATTCCTAGCTTTTTGCGGCCAGGCCTGGTGGCTGTAGGGAAGCTGGGATAGGCAGGGAGGGAGGCGGGAAGCACAAGAGGCCCAGGGATGCAGGAGTGGGGAGAGATTGAGGAAAATGCGGCGGACGGGATGTGAGGGACAGTAAGTCAAGAACCAGGCTGCAGGAGTAGAACCTGGTGTGGGTTTTAGCAAGTGAATGCATCCCTTGGGACGCACGAGCGATACTTCTGATCACAGAGCGCAAGGAATATACGCTTCTTTGTGATAAGGTAAAGTCGCCAAGCTTTTAGTTAGTTAATTGCAGGAGGCTCTAACCAGCTAATTAGCTCAGCTATAGCCAGTGTCTCTCCTTTCTCGCATCCCTTTGGGGAGGCAGAAGGGGGTTTTTGTTACTGTGTTCTTGTGCTCCGGTTTGGACTTTTTGAGACTGGGTGTCCTTTTCCAGCTAGCCTGAAACTCACTGACCTCCCACTCGAGGCACTGGGAGTACCTCCGGTTTGTGCGCGCACGTGCATCTGATTTGGTGGAAGTCATAGGACAACTTTTGTGAATTGGTTCTCTCCTGTCGTTTTGTGGGATCCAGAGATTGAACTCACGTATCAGGCTCGTGCACAAGCCCCTATGAACTGCTGGGCCATCTTGGCTGGCTGGTTTTATTTTTGTTTTTTTTAATGATGAGATGCTTGATTGCTTTGGCTTTGCTAATCTTATGTCACTGACTCCCATATCCTTCCCCGTGACTGCCTAAGGTACAGCCATTGCTACCTTATAGGCATCTTACGTGAAACACATTTAATACTGGATTTTGTCACACCTGGCTGTCACTCGGTTGGTGGAATGTTTGCACATCATACACAAGGTTCTCGGTTCTATCCTCAGCATCGCATAAACCGGGCCTGTAGTAACTTCAGCACTCGAGAAAGGCAGGCAGGAGGATAAGTTCCAGGCCAGTCCAGGCTACCTGAGGGTCTGTGTCAAAAATGAATGCACTAGACACTACACACCTCCCTACACACCTCCCTCATCTTGGAAGCGTGCTTGCCTTCTGCATCTTTGGTTAATGGTTCAGCTGTTTTCCAAGCTAAAAGTGTGCATGCTGTCCCTTGGGTATTGTTCAGTACTCACATCCTGTCTGATTATCATTTTCTTTGCATCTGCTAGAGAAGCATCTTCTGTACCTATTCCTCTTTCTCTGTGGAAACAACTGCAAACTTTGTTTCTTCTCTTATTTTATTCTTTGTTTTTTTCCCATTTGGTTTTGGGGTTTTGTTTGTTTTGGTGTCACTCCCACCAGCACCACCACCACCCCACTTGAGAGGCAGAGGCAGGCAGATCCTGTGAGTTTGAGGCTGGTCTGGTCTACAGAGCAAAGTCAGTGCCAGGGCTACAGAGAGAAACCTTGTCTTGAACCCCTCCCCCCCAAAAAAAAAATTAAAAACAAACAAAAAGCCAAAATGAAGATCAGCAAGATAGACCAGCAGATAAAGGGCAATTGCTGCCAAGCCTGACAACCTAAGTGTTTATCCAGGACTCATGGTGGAAGGAGAGAACCAACCTCTAAAACTTGTCCTCTGACCTCCACATGTGTGTCATGAATGTACACACACAGACACACACACACAAATTTAATGAAAAAAAATTTAATTTAATCTTGTGCTTTAAAAACAAATCTGCCTAACAACACATAATGCCCAAATTCATTTGGAAAAAAAAGACTAGAATGAAGGTGGTGTCTCTCCATTTGCCCTGATAAAAAGGAAGAGATGATGACGAGGTCCTGTGTTAGTTCAGGAGAAGGAAATAGCAGCTTTTTGTCATTGTTAGATTTTTGGGAAAATATGTCAACCTTCTTTTTAAAGGCAATTGTGCTAATATTTACTCTTCTAACAGCCCCTGCTTTTCCCTGACCTCACAAGACCCTTTCCTGTGTTACTGTGTCCACACACATATGGCCAGTGACATCAGAGGGAAGGCTTAAAATATGCCATCTATGTTGTTTTTTATTTAATTGGTCCATTAGGAATTTCTCTGCCTAACAAAATGTTTTATGCATTATTTACCAATAAAACTCATCTAAAGGGGCACAAGTAGTTGCCAGAGAAGAACCACGTTTTGTAGACTAGTGGGATAGAGGTTCCAGTTTGACAAGGGACTCATCTCCGTTCACTGTAGAGCTACTTCACATGACATCATATAAATGGAGAGCAGAGTGTTCCTCCTTAGTACAAGATCCCGAGAACAGACTCTTTTAAGTTAGTAAGAATCTAAAGTTTGCAGATTGCCAAATAGTTCTGTATTGTATTTATTACTTTGGATAGAGTCTAAAGGCAATTTCTAAAGTTCCTTCTTTGATGTGTTACTCACCAAAAAAACGGGCTGAACCATGTCCAGTAGGGTGGAGGACAAGAATGGCGCTAGCCTTTGTGAGAGCCTCCTTACAGAAGGGCCCTCAAAAGGAGCCCAGCCAGGGTGGGTGAAGGAGTCAGTGGTGCAGAAACAGGTATGCAAGGTGGATGATTCTTAAACATTCTATGCATTGTTTTTCTGTTGGTAGTGTTCACCACAGAGCCCAGAGCTGTATGGTAAAGCTTCACCTCCAAACCACATCCCCAGCCTCTACACATGTTCGCTTATCCATGTTGGGGAAATTGCCTGCTGATGGGGCATGGAGTCTAGTTCACAGGTAGAGCAGTTGCCTCTCGTGTCCAGGTCCTGGCTTCAACCCCCAGTGATGAACAAAAAATTGTTGATATTCTTTCACGATTTTAAAGCTGAGGTTTTTTTTTTTTTTTTTTAAGTCTTAAAACTCTTTATGAAATAAGTATAGTTTTATGTATTAATGTTTTACTACTACAAGAAGATAATTTGAATACATGACTGTTAAAAATTTCCTTCCCAAATATAGAAAAGGAAGAGTCGCACTCTTTCTCTTAGGCCACCCTATCTCACTGTCTACTGTGAACAGTTTGCTATCATTCCCTATCTTTCCCTGAGTGTTTATGTAAGCGCGCACACACACAGACACACACGAATAGACATGCAATAGTGCCTATTTTTCCTAAATCACACGTACTAGATGGGTTATTGTACGAGTTCCACTCTTCTTTGAGATTTCTCACTCGTGGAGGTTCCTTTTCCTTCTCTTTTTTGAGATCTTACGCAGGCTGGTTTCAGACTTACAGGCTTAGCTGATCTCCTGCCCCAGTCTCTTGAGCATCTAGGTCTACTTGTGGGTACCACCCCTACCTATGATTGTCCAAACCAGTGGTTCTCAACCTTTCTAATGCTGCTGATATAGTTTTAGACCTCACACATGCTAAGCAAGCCCTCTTTC